GGGGCAATGTGTGTATGGGGGGGCAGTATGGGTGTATGGGGGGCAGTATGGGTGTATGGGGGCAGTATGGGGGGCAATGTGTGTATGGGGGGACAGTATGGGTGTATGGGGGCAGTATGGGGGGCAATGTGTGTATGGGGGGACAGTATGGGGGGCAGTATGGGGGGGGGCAGTATGGGGATCAGTGTGTGTGTGATAAGGGTAAGGGGCTTTTTTAAAAAATATATATTTTATTAATTTAGTTTAATATAAATAATCATTATGTCCCCCCTCCCTTCTTACCTTTACTGGGGGGAGGGGGGACATTTCCCTGGTGGTCCGGTGGGGGATTCCCTGGTGGTCCCAGTGGGGATTCCCTGGTGGTCCGGTGGGGGATTCATTGGTGGTCCCAGTGGTGATGAAAGTGAACTCTAGCCCGCGCTCCCGGGCTAGAGTTCACTCTCGCGAGATTTGGAGCGTTGCCGTGGTAACCGCGGCAACGCTCCAAATCTCGAGTGAGGAGGACCCGGAGGAGCTGCAGACTGAGCTCCGGGTCCTCTCTCTCACTCCCTCCCTCCCCTGCCGGCCGCCAGCACAGTGCCTGCGGACCGGGGAGGGAGATCTCTGATCTCCCCTCCGGTCCTCAGGCACATTGCAGGGCTAGCACCTGCATGTGCTGACAGGGGAGGGAGACCGGCGGATTTCTCGGGGGGGCAATTGCCCCGTTGCCCCCCCCTGGATCCGCCACTGCACTGCACCCCTGACACCCACACACTGCCCTCCATATGGACACTGCCAACCATACTAACACTGCCTTCCATACGTACACTGCCCCCTCACACACACACACACATACTGCCTCCATGCGCACACACACATACTGCCCCCATACACACTGACCCCTCATGCACACACACATACAGTGCCTTGCAAAAGTATTCACCCTCTCTTGACATTTGATCTATTTTTTTTACATTACAGCCTTAACTTCAATGTTTTGTTAATCTGAATTTTATGTGATGGATCAGAACATAATAGTCTAAGTTGGTGAAGTGAAATGAGAAAAATATATACATAAAACTATTTTTTAGAAATAGAAAACAAAAAATTGGCATGTGCGTATGTATTCACCCCCTTTGTTATGAAGCCCATAAAAAGCTCTGGTGCAACCAATTACCTTCATAAGTCACATAATTAGTGAAATTATGCCCACATGATCTGTCATTACATATACACACCTTTTTTTGAAAGGCCCCAGAGGCTGCAACATCTAAGCAAGAGGCACCACTAACCAAATACTGCCATGAAGACCAAGGAACTCTCCAAACAAGTAAAGGACAATGTTGTTGAGAAGTACAAGTCAGGGTTAGGTTATGAATAAATATCCAAATCTATCATAACCAAATGGAAAGAACATGGCACAACAGCAAACCTGCCAAGAAACGGCCACCCACCAAAGCTCACGGAATGGGCAAGGAGGGCATTAATCAGAGAAGAAGTACAGAGAACTAAGGCAACCCTGGAGGAGCTGCAGAGACTGGAATATCTGTACATTGGATGACAATAAGCCGTACGCTCCATAGAGTTGGGCTTTATGGCAGAGTGGCCAGAAGAAAGCCGTTACTTTCAGCAAAAAAAAAAAATGGCACGTTTTGAGTTTGCAAAAAAGGCATGTGGGAGACTTCCAAATTGTATGGAGGAAGGTGCTCTGGTCTGATGAGACTAAAATTGAACTTTTCGGCAAAAAGGTGGCTCTACAAAGTATTGACTTTAGGGGGTGGTGAATAGTTATGCCAATTAACTTTTTCTGTTATTTTGTCCTATTTCTTGTATGTTTCACAATGAAAAAAAAACATCTTCAAAGTTGTGGGCATGTTCTGTAAATTAAATGATGCAAATCCTCAAACAATCCATGTTAATTCCAGATTGTGAGGCAACAAAACATGAAAAGTGCCAAGGGGGTGAATACTTTTGCAAGGCACTGTACTGCCTCCAAACACAAACACTGCCCCAATACACACACATACTGCCCCCATACACACTCACTGCCCCTTTCACACACAAACACACACTGCACCCCTCACACACACACACTGCCCCCTCACACATGCACACACACTGCCCTCCATACTAACACTGCCACCCCCCACACACTTCACCGCTCACACAATGCATCTCTCACACACACTTCACCCCTCACACACACATTACTGCCCCTATACCCTGCTACAGGCCCTATTTGGTAGACCCCAGGTAAGTTGTCAAATGGTTCTTAAACGGTTTGACTGCTTACTCTGGGAGGGTGCCACGGCACTCCTGTAACCATAACCATTACAGAGAGCTGTAGTGATTATTGTGCCTGGATTGTGCCTGTAAATAATCTCCAAGTGCCCCTCCCGAGATTTGGTTCTGGATCCACCCCTGCCTGCAATCCCACAATGATAAGACAACACGAGAAATGCTCCAGGCACTCAAGGTATTCAAGCCGCAGGCAGTTTTAATAGAACAAGAAAAGGAGCAGCAACTGTGATGAGAGCAATCTCGCCACATTGCATTGGAGAAGCCTGGTTGCTCGCCTGCTGCCTTTGGATTATGGCCCCATGTTAAAAGACTTTGTTTCCCCCGCAGAAAAGACTTATTCGTGCTTTTCTGCCCGGTGTTCGGTAGATTCAATCTACCGAACAACCGCATGAATGCCTAGACCACCTGGGAGCTGGAGTGTGCCGGCAATTAGCCTCCCAGAAGCTGCGGTTAACCGCA